TGTAGCCTTCTTTAATCTGAGCTATGTACGCATTGTTGTCTTCGTAGATCACAGTCGGGTGACAAGTAATAGGCTTCATACCGCATTCATTTTGGATGTGTTGAATCATAGACCGCAGCCACACACATTCTCTTCCGGTTTCATATAATGCAATTAACTCTGAATGATTTGATGATGTAGCTGTCAATGCCTGCTTCATAGATCTCATTAGATTGCGGTGTTACCATAAGTAAATACGTACCCGGTTTGTGATTTTGTCTTTTGAGGATCTGATAAATATCCAACGTCTGCATATCCGATTAAAGCAGCTTTTGCATCTTTGTGGTAGAATAAGTCGAGATCAACTGTACCACGTAGATAACGGAATATGTGCTTGATCCCGTTCCAATGACGTCTTGTTGGGCATGAACTGTACCTAGCTAATAAATTTACAGAAAATGCAATATCTGGTCTAGTATTATTAGCTAAATACATCAACGCTCCAATAGCACTCAGATATGGTATTTCGGGACCGAGTATTTCTTCGTCTTCTTCTTGGGGACGGAATGGATCATCGTGTATGCTGAGAGATCGAATGACCATTGGTGAAGTCAAATGCTCGGTGTAATTAGATTGGTGGATGAAAATTCCATTCTTCAAATGCTCAATTTGAAGTCCGAGACAAAATTTGGTTGTCCCGAGATCTTTCATTTCAAATTCTTTCATAAGATATTTTGCAGTATTTTCAATTTCATCAGGAGTTCCAATAATGTTTAAATCATCAACATATACTGCAATTATGACGAATCCAGAATTTGATCGCCGAATGAAAACACATGGACTAATTGTATCATTCTTATATCCTTCTTCGAGAAGGTATTCACTGAGACGATTATACCACATTCGTCCAGATTATTTTAGACCATACAACGACTTTTGTAATTTAATGTAAAACATTTCTCGAGATTTCGAGTTATAAGCTTTAGGCATTTTAAATCCACCGGGAACTTTCATGTAAATGTCTGTATCGAGTGAACCGTATAAATATGCAGTCACTACATCCATAAAGCGCATTTGTAGCCTTTCAAAAACAGACATGCAATGAGAAATCTTAATGTAGTTGCATCAACTACTCGAGAATATGTTTCTTCATAATCAATTCCCGGCATTTGAGAAAAACCTTGGGCAACAAGTCGGGCTTTATATCTTACGATTTCATTTTTCTCATTGCGTTTACGCACAAATACCCATTTAAAGCCCACTGGTTTTACGCCTTTTGGTGTAGGGACTATCGGTCCAAAAACATCACGTTTTCAAGTGATTTTAATTCAGCCTGAATAGCTTCATTCCATTTTGGCCAATCGTGTCATTTCCGACATTCTTCTATTGATGTTGGCTCATTGTTATTGTTTTCATTCATAACATTTGTGGCAACAGCATAGAAAAATATTTCATTAATATCAACATCTTTACGATTCCATTGCATTCCAGTAGAAACGTAGTTTTTAGAAATTTCATAATTATCAACGTTTCTATCAGTATCTGGAATATCTTCCTCGTTTAAGGAAGTTGGATCATCATTTGAGATGTTTGTTTTGTCAATATCATTTTCTATGCCAATATTTTCAATTTGTTCATTTTCTTGTTCAGAAGGATTAACATCTTTGACATCACAGATTAATTCCTGCCTTTTAGTTTTTCTTGGTTTTATGTCTTTTGATCCAAGTGGCATGCCACGCTTTTTGCGTATAAAAGAATTATTTGCAAGAGATTTTTCAAAATTCTCTGTTGAGATTTCGATTCTGGCAGGGGTATTCATAGCAGGAATATGTGATTTTGTCACTTTCTTTGTATCTGTGAATGCATCAGGCAACTGATTTGCAACATTTTGTAAATGGATTATCTTTTGCACCTCTTGCTCACATATATTTGATCTAAAATCAAGGTGTGATAATTCTATTGCATTCCATGTTATTTCTTTCGTACTTGGGTCCGATTTATTAGTTTCTCCCCCTAAGGTTGGGAATACTGTCTCATTGAAATGACAGTCTACCAACCGTGCTGTGGATAAGTCACTAGTCATTGGTTCGAGATATTTTATTATTGAGGGACATTCAAAACCAACATAAATTCCCAACCTTCTTTGAGGACCCATTTTTGTACGATGAGGTGGAGCAATCAGAACATAAACAGCACAACCAAATATCTTAATGTGTGCTAATTGTCCGGTTACTAATTGCATTGGGGAATATTCATGATATGCAGTTGGTCTAAGCCGAATTAAATTTGTTGCATGTAAAATAGCATGTCCCCAAGCTGATGAAGGTAAGTTACACTTCATTAATAATGGTCTGGCGATTAAATGTAATCCGTTAATCAAAGATTCAGCAAGACCATTTTGTGTATGGATATGAGCAACAAGTGCTCCACATCAATCCCAATCGACATACAATAGTCGTTAAATGATTGGGATGTAAATTCTCCTGCATTATGAAGTCGGATTCTTTTTATAGAATGATCCGTAAAATGAGCTCTTAATCTTATAATTTGAGCAAGGAGTTTAGCAAATGCTAAATTTCTAGTCGATAAAAGACTGACATGTGACCAACGTGTTGAAGCATCAATCAATACCATAAAATATCGAAATGGTCCACATGGTGGGGCAATCGGCCTACAAATATCTCCTTGAATCCTTTCTAGCAATCGGCCCACAAATATCTCCTTGAATCCTTTCTAAAAATGCAGGTGATTCAGTTGCAATTTTGTTCATAGAAGACCTGATGATCATTTTGCCAAGAGAACAGGTCTGACAAGGAAAATCACTTGATAATGGAACCCTGATATTCTTTAATGGGTGTCCAAGTGAAGTCTTAATGATTTTATGCATCATTACTTGGCCTGGGTGACCTAAACGGTCATGTCACAACATGAATGTTTTCTGGTCATCTAACTTAGTGTTAGAAACCAAATTTATTTCGAATGCACTAATATATGTGAAATATAGTCCTGAGGAATATGCTGGCATTTTTTCACAAATATATTTAGTGCCAGATTTAGTTGTCGTGAGACAAAGATATTCCCTTTTATTTTCATTCATGGTTTCTATGTGATATCCATTTTGACGCATATCTTTAAAGCTTAATAAATTTCTCCGCGATTTGCTGGAGTATAAAGCGTCATTTATAATAATTTTTGTCCCGTTAGGGAGCATCACATATGCTTTCCCAGAGCCTTCAATGAGCTTCGCAACACCTGATATTGTATTGACTTTAGCTTCAAAGGGGAAGAAATAAAAAGTACATAAAATTATGAGTCTACTATTTTATTTTTTATTATTTTGGTTTATGGCAAAAGCATCGTCCATAATGGCATCATGCTAGTGGTGCCGGTAGAGGATTTTCGTGAATGAGACGATGGTCTCTTGTTATTCCGTGATCGAGTGTGCGTACCGTCGAATGATGAGCTCCGAAAGTCCATTCTAGAGGAGGCTCATTCCTCGGCGTATGCTATGCACCCGGGAGACACGAAGATGTACCGGGACCTGAAAGAAACCTACTGGTGGTCTGGTATGAAGAGGGAAATAGCAGAATACATCAGTCGATGCCTTACTTGTCAGCAAGTTAAGGCGGAACATCAGCATCCAGCGGGCTTATTGCAGCCACTTTCCATCCCTGATTGGAAGTGGGAACATGTGACTATGGATTTCGTGGTAGGCTTACCACGGAAGATCATGAACTATGATGCAGTTTGGGTTGTTGTTGATAGGCTCACGAAGAGTGCACACTTTCTACCTATCAACATCACTTACCCACTCGAGAGGTTAGCCAAATTGTATACGGACGAGATCGTGAGGTTACATGGTGTTCCAGTGACCATCGTACCCGATAGAGACCCACGATTCACGTCACGTTTTTGGCCAAAATTTCAAGAGTCTATGGGAACGAGATTGAAGTTCAGTACTGCATTCCATCCACAGACGGATGGGTAGTTTGAAAGGGTTATTCAGATCTTAGAAGATATATTGAGGGCTTGTGCATTGGAGTTCCAAGGGAGTTGGGACAATCACTTCGCACTTGTGGAGTTTGCCTATAACAACAGTTATCAAGCAAGTATCAGCATGCCTCCATACGAAGCATTGTATGGGAGGAGGTGTCGTACACCGTTATGCTGGGACGAGGTTGGCGTGGCCAAACTCGAGAGTACTGAATTGGTTGAGATCACCAAGTCAAAGGTGAAGTTGATTCGAGAGAGACTCAAAGCAGCTCAGGATAGACAGAAGAGTTATGCAGATAAGCGACGGAGAACCTTAGAGTTTAAGGTTAATGATGAGGTATTCATGAAGGTTTCTCCTTGGAAAGGGATCATTCGATTCCAAAGCCGAGGGAAGCTTAATCCACACTACATCGGGCCATTCAGAATTCACCACTCCATAACTCAGAAATGGCTTCTCTTGTCCAAATTTCCAAATCCATCTTTACTGGATCCATCCTCAACACCCCCAAAATCCTTGAGAGGGCAAACAACAGTGACCTCATGAAGGAGCTCCTGAGAAAGCTAGAAACAACCGGGCTAATGAAAATGGCCACCTATCCATATCCCTGTTTCTATCCAGAAACCGTAGTAGAGTTCTACATCAACTCAACTTCTGGCACGTTAAAGTCAGTAGTTCTGGGGCATGAAGTAGAAATCAACCAAGATGAAAATTAATTACAAACTATTTTTTCTTATTATTACACAATTTAAAGCGCAAAAAAAGGTTTAAAACGGCCGTAAAACTTACTCCCTCCGTTCATTAAAACGTTGTCATCTTTCCTTTTTGGGATGTCTCAAAAAACTTTGTCATTTTCCCTTTTAATCAATTATTTTGTGGTTTCTGTTTTTTTTCTCTCCTCTGCATAAATCTCAACCATACAGTTTTTACTTTATTATTCTCCGTGTCGATCAAATTTGGAAAAATTTTAAGGGAGGGAGGTAGTATTATAGTCCTATTCTTGTAATTTACTACGATCTCCCATGTTTTTGTCAAAACACAGCGGGCGAACCCTAAATTCATCTGTTGAACAGTGTACTGATTTTTCTCAGCATTTGTTGTCAATTTCAATCCATTAGCTGTCAAAACTTCTTAATTATTACTACTTCGTACGCCATTTGCATTGATCTTTTGAAATACTCCGTAGCTTTTAATGATAAAAATTCTGACTTGTCCCCATTGTTTTCAACCGCGTCTGGCGGCACAAAACGCGGTGGCGCCCATAGCTGTAATAGTTTGAGGACGAAGAAGAAGCGGTGACGCACTTACCTTATTTTGGAGTGAAAACGAAAAAACATCTGAAATTTTATGGGCGGTCTGAATCTGCCGAAACACAGCAAGCATATGTTTTTCGAGGTTCATGGAAGCATGGTCGAATTCAAAAGATGAATCGACACTTTATGAAGCTGAAATAAACCATACTTCAAATTGGGGTTTTGAATTTTTTTCTATGCTAGGAGTAGAAGATTGGGTTTTTGATGGCTGTAAGAAGAAGCTCAGGGTCATGTTTGACCAAATACTAATATCCTTTCTTAATGATGTATCTAAAAACAGATGCTTTAGGCCTCTCCCCGTAATGAATGGCTGTGGGCATGAAGTGGATTTGTTCAAACTGTACAGTATAGTTAGAAGAATTGGTGGGTATAATTCTGTTTCTAAGGAAAACTTGTGGGGTTATGTTTCAGAGCAATGCGGGTTGGATTTTAGGGAAATGTCGTTTGTGAAGCTGATTTACATCAAGTATTTGAATGATTTTGATCAATGGATTGGAGAGCAATGCAGAGATAGTGCTTTGGAGAAAGTAGAAAGTGGATTGGTTAGGCGACTTGAACTAATGTCTAGAGAGTTCAAGGTTAGGTTTGGAAACATGTCCAGTAATGATTCTAATCAGAAAACTGCTCAGATTAATCAAAAGAATTCAGTCATGAAGAATGGTGGGCGGGAGGTACTCACTGATGTTGAAATTGGTAGTGTATGTGATTATTATGTGGAATCAACCGAGAGGTTAGCTGTAAATAATATTCAAAAGAATAGACTCTTTATTAAAAATACTAATGGAGAAAGTGTTACTGACTCTACTGCATCATCTCCCAATATGAGTGTTCAGAAAGTTGTCAATTCGGTTGCAGATTATCCACAAGAAGAATTTGTTGGTTGCATAAAAGGGTCTGCTAAAGACAACGGTGACGTTGCTACCACAGCCAAAAACTATACTGGGAAACTCAATGAAGTGAATACATTGAAGAGAAAATTGACACCTTCGTATTTCTCGGAAATTCTTGATTGGGTGACCAGTGCAGCAAAACATTGCGATAGTCCTGAAATTTTGAAGATTCCTGATTTGTCCCAGTGGAAGGATCATAGCATAAATGACTCGACCCAGATTTTGTTGATTAGACAAGTTCTACTGAACAAAAATCATTTTAGTTCAAATTCTGAAGAGTCTGCTCCCCAGGTTAGCCTTTGGTATTTCTACCCCCCATCTTTATATATTGACATTTTTTTAGGTTAATGAATATATTCCATAGCATGAAATGCGGGCATTGCTGCAGTAAGTACAGTACTGTTGACACATTTGAGTAGTTTGCGTATTCAGATCTTTTTAGGTTGTGTTTATTGAAAATGTACCTGAATGAGTAAAGTAATAAAGTAAGCAGAGTTATCACTTATCAGGACCAGAGAATTTGAGTTGGCTAGTGATCCCTTCATAAACTCTTCCTCTGACATGCATAGATTTTCGTATTATAATACTCCGTACTCCGTATGTCCTAATAAAACACAGATGTACTTCATTGTCTTCTGAAAAATGATTCATCTGACAAAGCAGAATGGTTTGGTTCTTGTATATTACTAACCTTAACAATATCGAACTTGGCCAATTTTTGTAGCTAAACCCTTATTTTTATTGTATTCGGACATACTATCTCCGTCCCTTAAAACTTTGCCAAGTTTGACCGGCACGGGGAATAATAAAGTAAAAACTGTGTGGTTGAGGTTTGTATAGAGGAGAGAGGAGAGAAAATTAACTGGAACCACAAATTCTTTACTTAAAAGGGAAAGTGGCAAAGTTAGTGGGACATCCAAAAAAGGAAAGCTGGCAAACTTTTAAGGGACAGGGGAAGTATTCTATAGTCTTGACATACATTTAGTTCTCCTCTTCAGTCTTCTCACATGGAATCAGAATCTTTTCCTCTGACATGCATAGATTTTAGTTTTTTTTGACAAAATGGCATATATACGTGGAAGCATCTGCCTTCTTCGGCAATCAGAGACTTTTAGTTATATGTTTTCATCCTTTGCCTTCATTGACTAGAAATCCTATAAACAAACAAGAATGCTTCAATGAGTTCAATTTTTCTTAGTAGTGTTTTTAGAACCAAAATGGACTTGGAGGGTCCGCTGTGAATTACTAGCACATACTGTCCGACTAGTCCACTATGATCGGGAATCTGATTTTACCTCAAAAGCTGCTGCCGAGTGCCAAATGAGAACACTGGTGGTACTGGGAAACCGGATGCTTTATTCTTACCGGTCGTTTACTTTTTTAAACAATAAAGAAAAGCAAAGAACAAAAATATGCTGTTCATTTCTTTTTACCAGCATCATAGCACACTTTAAATGCCAATTTTTAGAAATTTGTCATATCCTTTTCGGATTTATCACGTGAACTTCAGAAACTTGTGAATAGATTTTGGAGGGAAAAAGGAGTCAAAATTTGAGAATTCGGGTCCTCACTAGAAAATCAAGTGGTTTTGGATCAAAATTGTTTCTACGGTCACTTTGGGCTAAGATAAATTCTATATTTTGGAAAATGGAAATCACATTAAAGAGTAAAGATTAAACATGTGAAAGAAATCAAAGAAAGAAGGATGAGATCAAGACAGTTCGGTTTGCTTCTTTAGTTTTTCTTTGTAATGGAATGATGAATACTGTGGTTATGGTGAATGGAATAAGCATAGTCACTGCCCACTAGTGGCTCAGTGGCTCTTTCACAAAGTCAGTATTGTGAAATTATAGCGATTCTCACTTGTTAAGATAAATGACTGAAATGAGGTTGATTTTAAAAAAATCTTGTCAAGTATAGAACTGTAATATTTTAAAAGCTATGTCAGGAGTGATTTGAAATCTATGTCGCACATTGTTTAGTTTAAAGCAATCTCTAAGAGCTTGGTTTATCAGGTCTCATCGTGTGTTCTGTAAATTTAGTGTAATTTATAGTGAAGTTAATTAATGTGTCTTCTTTCGAAGTTAAGATATTCAACAAACTCAAAATTTATATATATTGTGGTTTATGTGGATGACACATATATCACAGGCAATGAACAAGAAGCTAATCTCGATGAAAATATAATCTCCTGTCATTTCAGACAAACCTGCACCTTCATTGTCACACATTTCAATTTTCAAATGAAGGTAAACTTTTCGGCACAAAAGTTGTGTAGCTTTAGAGTGAAAGTGAATAGGAGTAATCTAGATGTGTTGTGCAACTAGCACCAACTGGCCTTCCATCTTAACTTTTACTCAACACTCTTCAACAAGTTTGTTAGGGTGCTTTATTGGTATTGACTATCGCAGTGGTAGAAGTAAATCTCAGAAGAAATCGTCTTGCTTGATTGTAGAACTATTATAACCCTACGGTTGCCTATGTTATATTTTAACCAAGATATGGGGAATTATTTTCTCACTGTCACACGGGCGGATATTTATTTCTTTTACTGCTAGTATGCTAAGATATATGATAGAAATTCTATGATAAAATGTTATATCTTTATTTGTGATAACTGAATGTTGGTTTTTTGCACCACCGCAAGGTTTATCAATTCATTTGATGGGCAATCCAACTAAATCCTTTCGCGAGGGGGGGGGGGGGGAGGTTACTGGGGCATGAATCTCTTGCCCTTGCATTATTTTTCTAGTTCCATTTTTTGTCCGCCCTAAATTTTCGATCGGTGTGGGCATAAATTTTGGGATGGGGGATGTAGAGTTGGCACTGAAGTTAATTCATCCTTCGGTGCACATCTTTTTTTTTTAAATTTTCACAGTATCTTTTACGTAAGTAATTAATTCTTTTTTGTTTTCTTTTTGGGTGTATGCTACATGTTAACTAAAACCACAGAAGAAGCTTAAAATGCACCCTTCAATGTATGATGATAACACACCCGATCATGTATCCATGGAAAAAATGAGATGCAGCCAAAGAGTTTTTTCCTTGACCAATCCTCTTTCTTGTCCCTGCAACTACTCATCCTCTCCTACTGATAACAACATTGTTAGTCCTCAAAAAAGAGAAACAGAATCTGCCAAAAATGTTTCACGGGAAGAACCAACAAGCCCTCTGAAAGTTCCTGTTGGCCCTCTCCACCAAGCCGAAGTCCCAGAATGGACTGGTTTGATTTCCGAGAGCAATTCCAAGTGGCTAGGCACACATATGTGGCCTCCTGAAGAAACAAAAGCCTTCAATGAATCGGATCGTATTGGAAGGGGAAGAGAAGGAAGATGTGATTGCCAGTTTCCTTCATCTGTTCAATGTATAAGGTTTCACACTGCAGAGAAAAGATACAAACTGAAACTTGAGCTCGGCCGGCTATTCTACCAATGGAGATTTGACCGCATGGGGGAGGAAGTTTCCCTTTCATGGACTGAAGAAGAGGAAGAGAAATTCAAAGTTTTGATGAGATTAAACGCAACAACTCCAAATAAATTCTGGAATAGTGCTGCAAAAAAAATTCCATTAAAGACAAAGAGCATGCTGGTTAGCTACTACTTTAATGTTTTCCTTGTCAAGCGCCGGAGTTATCAGAATCGTGTAACTCCAAAAGATATCGACAGTGATGATGATGAAAAAGAGTTTGGATCGGTAGGCTGCCGTTTTGGTTATGAAGCAATTTATGTTCCAGGGTCCAGGCCACTTTTATGCACAGAGAATAAGGCGTGCACCAATCTGGAATAGTATGTTACAGACCTTTGCTTTCATTTTCTATGAGAAAGTAGTATGTTACAGTTTTGTCAGCTCCCTGTTTTTGAGGAAAGAAAACACTCGTAGCTCTTTCTTGTTATGAGTTATCAGGAATTGTAAGTTGATAGTAGAGGTAGTGGTCTACTTTCGTATTTGATCTTTGAATAGGAAAAACGTAACCTTCTAATTTAGGTTCTTGATATAGGACGTTCATTTCATAACATTATCAATGAAATATAACATAATGCAAGTTAACATAACGTAAAGTAAATCAAACATATCTGAAATTTTTAGATCAGAAATGAATGAAGCATAGTAGAACAGAACTGAGCACAACACACTAAGCCAATCAGTACAAGATTCGTAACAAATATCAGTTTCCTGATTGATTCCTTCATTTCATTAGTAAACCAAACTCGCGAGAACAGGACAAGACTTGAAACACGAGATAAGCATGATACATAATCACTGAGGCGAAGCGAACCTAGCACGTCCGGAGCAAGTCATAATAGCCAGAGCTACATGATTCCTAAAATAGAATTTTTAAGTGTACTAATGTCTAATGCTAGATCACTTGTACCAAAAATAGAACTTTCAAGACTACTAATCCTGAAACACTTTATACTAAAAACGAAATTTTCAGGTGTAGTAATGTCGAAGCACTTAGTACTAATTGGAATATGATGTCGTAGTTAAAGTAGCACTTATCACTGTACTGGGAACCAGGTGACACATAAGTTTTCCGATGCACAAGTCTAATCATAGCTTGTAGAGGTGACTCTCAAAATCTATGTACCAATACTCAAGGTGACTCTCAAAATCTATGTACCAATACTCAGAACATGCCTTTATGGAAACCGTCAATTAAATTTTATTGATTAAAAATGATTCAATTTCATCACATATTACGTATTTAATAAAATATATTCTCTTCAGTCCCATATAAACTTCACACTTTCCTGTTTGGGTAGATCCAAAATAAACTTCACACTTCTACTTTTGGCAACTTTTTAATACGTAGTATAAAGTTACCTCTATTCCCTTACTATATTACCTACTTTACACTCATTTTCTCTCTCCCACTACACTTTATCTACTTTTTGGGAGCATAATGAGAAGGTCATAACAAAAAAAATCACTTTCTTAAAAATGGTAAAGTCAACATAATTTTCTACCTGCGGGGCGTATAACATATTCTAAGTTCAAAAATAATTGTACATCATCAGTTATGACCAAACATAATCGAACATATCTAAAAGTGGTCAATTATATTAAAAGTGGTCAAACAATTGCATGAAAACAAATTTAGATCGAGTACATGACAGTGAATCAGTGATGCCACAAAGGCACAAACTACTTGAGGTTTGTTCATAGAGAAATCATTGAAAATTCGATCCAATGAGGAAACTCGTGTTACAATGTTCACGATCAATTCAAGTTAATAATAAACTAATACTATTATGATAATAATAACAATAATAATATGTATTGATACTATAATCAAGGTTCTAAAAGGGGTGAAAATATGGAAACCTAAACGCGCTTAGGCGTGAGGTGACGGAAAAACGCCGCACAAGTAGAAAAGACGGTCCAACGGAGAGTTAACTATCAAAGACGTGATAAGACGTAAACTTAGGCACTAAAGACTGAGCCTTGCTGGCGAAAGTTTTTTAGTTAACTTAATCCTTACAAAGAAAACTTGAATAAATTTAAAAAAAAAACACTTCTATAAACATGTCATATATAGAACTTAATACGGAGTACTAAAAAGAAACAATATATCATTTTGCATTTTCAATTTTATACATTTCAGAATTATTAAATTGAATAAAGTAAAAAATAAGGCTCAATCTTGTATAGTTTTTTTGGACATTTATTCTTGTTTCTACATATATCATTACAAAAAACGTGGTAGTAGTCATCAATAAAAGTCAAACTTTTTTCCACACTTCGACTTCAACTAGGTTTGGCATTGTCATCTTCTCACGCCTCACGTTTTTTAGGTGGTTATCTTCTATTATACAAAAGCAGGAGAAATTTTGCACAGTATTCCCGCTCAAAAATATCACATCAATGGGTTCGGGTCGGGTCTTTAAGTAATCGAGTCGGATTGTCCATGGGTTCAGAAACAGGCCAGAGTTCAGCACAATGCAGTTTTAATGCTAGTACAGTAACAAACCTTGAGCCACAAAAATCTGTACTTTTAAATCAGGAGAAAAGTAAATAAAATCTCCACACAACCTTGAGCCACAAAAACATTAATTGAATTGTACTGTGATTAGACAGTTTTGTGGCTCTCACCCATTACGAAATAAGCTAATTTGAGGATTAAATAAATGATGTAAATTGTACTTCAAAAATCTTTGAAAGTACAAAAAAAATCCCAGAGCAAGTCTTGAGCCACAAAAATCTAAAATGCACTATACTACCTTTACATTACAAAAAAGGATTTTGTACGCCACATGCCCGATTTAAAGATTGTCCATGGGTTCAGAAACAGACCAGAGTTCAGCACAACGCAGTTTTAATGCTGGTATAGTAACCAATGTCTCCAGTTCGCATGCTTGCTGCTTTTATTAAGAAAATATACAATTTGTACTTTTAAATCTGTAGAAAAGCAAATAAAATCTCCACACAACCTTGAGCCACAAAAACATTAATTGAATTGTACTATGATTAGACTGTTTTTGTACGTCTCACCCCCATTTCGAAATAAGCTAATTTGAGGATTAAATAAATGGTGTAAATTGTACTTTAAAAATCTTTGAAAGTACAAAAAAAAATCCCAGAGCAAGTCTTGAGCCACACAAACATTACATGCACTATACTATCTTTACATTACACCACAATCCCAATTTAAAGATTAACTGGGAAATTATCCCTTGGTTAATACCCCTTTGGCAGAAACTGTTCTCTCCCCGGCCACTATAAATACCCAAGTGAAGGATTTTCTAGACACACCACAAACGAGCAATTCCAGATTTAGAGTTTAAACTAAACAATGGCAGGTTCATCTACAACGGGGATGTGGTCTATGATCGAGGACATTGATCACACCAAGTCTACCTGGGCTCTGAAGGTTAGGGTTGTAAGGGCTTATGAGGTGCCTCCTCACTCAAAAAGAAGGGGAGACCCTCGAGATGGTTTTGCATGACGCCGAGGTACAATTTATACTTCTATCAAAAATATTTTATATGATAAAACGTTCGTTGTTAACTTTTGAATCTGTAAAATAGGGAGATCGGATTCATGCAATAATCAAGAGACCACAGATTTCCATGCACAAGACTATAATAACTGAGCACAAGATCTATGCTATAAGGAACTTCTTAGTTCTAGACAATTACCAAACAGTGAAGACCACAAATCATCCCTACCTGATTCAGTTCATCTCTAAAACCCAATTCAGGGAGGATACGAAGACAGAATTGCCTATGATGGTCTACGATTTCCATCCTTTCGATATGCTGCACGCCCAAAGGGTTATCAACGACAAAACTCTCATTGGTGGGTAAAATCAAATTATAGACCTAACTAAATAACTTATGGAACTATGCTAACAACAATTTCCATTCCACTGTTTCAGATATCATTGGGAAGGTTATCAATAAAAGCATTGTTCAAACCCATATCATCAATGGGAAGACAGAAAGGCTAATGGAGCTAACTGTGGCAGACCCAGAGTATTTTTTTTTCATTTAGAAATGTTATGGGTACGAAAATAATTTGTTATGCTAATGGCTAAAATCTTTTTGAAATTACAGGGGAAACAGACTAGACTGTGTTCTATGGAACAAATATATAAACCAGTATCAGGATTATGTTAATGAGAACCCTGGAATTGCTGTTTTTGTGATATTTCAACTGTGTAGACCCAAAAGATATCAAGGTATTACAACATCTAATTTTGCTATTTCACCAACATCAACGTATCATCAACTGTTGCTTAACAATGTTATTTACAAGCAGGCACCCTAAGTGTGGCTTCATCTTTTGATGTGTCCAAACTCATCATCAATGGAAACACAACCGAATTCTTAGAGTTCCAGAGCGAGTACGATTCATAAATTTTTTGACTTATAATTATCTAATCTAATAATAATAGTAAGTTTTAAAAAACAACAACTTACTTTGCACAATGAAACAAATAATAGATTTCCGGCGGATGGTGATGACTCCATATCTCAAACATGCAACACAAACTGCTCACAAGGTGAAGGGAGTAGGGATGTGCTTAGTGGTCATGCTGTCATAACCACTATGGAGGATTTGATGAATGTAACTGAGGTAAATATGTGTTAGAGGGATTTTTGTAAGCAGCATTTGTAATTGGTTGTAATCATTGTGTGTCAAAAACATTTTGAATGAATAGGAGGAGATTTACTGGGTGCTTGGTGAGATAGTTTCTATCAAAAATACTCGGGAGTGGTGCTACCTAAGCTGCACAAAAAATTGGTACCGGAGGAGGAGAGGTTCAGGTGTTCTACTTGCAGCGTGACACTAGGAGAAGGAGTCTACCGGTACTATAATATCACCTTATTTGATGCCAGAGATAATGTTGTTGGGGTTAATGTATTGTTTTACAAATATGAATTTCAAATAAACTAACACATCATGGACCTGATAATGATTAAGTTACAAGGTCAGTGTGTGCATCATGGACAACACCGGGCACGGAAATTTTATTCTATGGGATAGGGAATGTATTGAGATTCTGGGGAAAACTTCTGCATCCCTAATGGCTGAGGTCCAAAAGGTAACATCTATATTGTATTCACGGCAATTTTATTCTATGTAGACCACTCATTCTATTTCATAATGCAACTTGGCAAAAAAACAGAAAACAGGTGATCCAACCCGTTTTCCAGAAGATATTGAAAGCTTGATTGACAAAAAGGGAATATTCAAAATATAGCTAAAGAAGAGAGGTGAAGAGAATGCCTATAAAGGTAGTGTTTCCCTTGGAGTTGTTAGTATGATTCGAGATCCTAATGTGCTGGCAATGTATGAAGGAAATCATGAGCAATTGGTATCAAATGAAAGCCATGAGTGTACTCCCGAGAAGGTATTTGAAAAAAATCTTTAATCTTTAATGGTTCATTTTCAGCTTAGATCTAAAGATGATGCCTAGAGTGAATCTTTCTATTTCAGATTGGTTCATGTTCAAACTTGGAAGGAAACGACAACTCGATAAGAGAGAAGTCTTCTGTTACTAAGGGCAAGGGAAAACGGATTTCAGCTGAGAAGGAGGTAAAATGCTCATCAACCTAACAGATTTATAATGGTTTGAATTACGAAATTCTGAAAATGGAGTTTCTTTCTATTCATACTAGGTTACTGCCCCCATTGAGCTCTCAGATTCGCCTGTTGCTTCTACACAAAGAGAGGTGATTGTTGAATTGGATGACGAGATAAAAAGGAATCTCAATGATGAGTTTTCAGGCAATGGGAATGGAAAGAAGCTGAAGATTAAAATCAAGCAGGAAAAACTGTAATTGGGTTTGCAAAGAAGTGAAGATAACGTTTCGATGTTTTTGTGGAAACAACTAATGCGGTGTTGGTTTTTTTGGAAAACTGTATCAAGGGGCCGTATGTATTTTGGAAGTGAAACACTATGTGTGACAGACTTCAAATAACCTATATTATGTCTATAGTGTGGTGTGCTAATTTGATGATGCTATGTTGTGGACGTATTATACCTTGGTCCTCTAAAGATTGTGTATTTCTTGAGCAATTGTAGGTTTTCTACAGAGAGAAGAAATTGCTAACTTTAAGGGATGTCTTTACACATAATTCATATTGGCAAGTTTTATAAAATAATTTTATAATGACACTGACACACTTATAAATGATTTGCAGGTGAAAAAAAGTTTTAGGCGTGTGGAGACTCCTAAATGAAGGCAACAAGTTTCTAACTACGGAGTATGTTTTGAAGTATTAGGAAACGTAAAATTTTGTAACTATGTTCATTCTTGAATGAGAGGTGTATTTATTTGATTTCAAAAGTGTATTCATTGGATTTCAAATCTAAATTTGTATTGTTTATTGTAGAAGTTAATACATTTGCTATGATTGAAAATAAGAATTGGTTTTCTTATATTTCCAAATCTAAATGGAGTTCTAAACTACAGACAGCCTACAAACAATGAGAGTTGAAAATAGGGCCAATAAGGAGAGGTAAAGTGACATACCTGACCAATTGGTATGGTTGATGAAACCTGCAATCCCTAATTTTAACTAAATAATATTACAGACCTTTTTGAATGTTTACATAAATGGCAACTTTCTAAGGTTCCAGAACTATTTCTATTACATTTTTCTACATGGCAGTCATTGAAATACCTTTCAACTTGAAAATTACACCTGCAAGAATTTAGGTATAAAGAAGTCAGTATAGAGAGTCATTATATCCAATTAACTAATTCTGATCATAGAGCTTCAACAATCTGCAGTTTAATCATAAGATTTAAACAAAGTTTTAATTTTAACCAATCTGTTAAAAAACAACAACTTTGTATTTCAAACAATCATTTGGTTATTGTATAACATCAATGTACTAAATAATTATATTTATCGTTGACATAATAAGCATCTATATACATAGTATGTCTTATATATATGATTTGGGTATAATAAAAGATGTTTGCTCAAGAAATTATATTTCAAGTGCAGTTTCTTTTTACCACACTTGAAAATTTAACCAATGTACTTCACTTGAAACTTCTCAAACCAATCATTTCTTGAAATGGACTTTTATGTTGTTGCTAGAAAAGAAATGAGGTATATATATTTTGAAATCAAGGAAGGAGAATTAACAGAGTCATAATTAAGTAGAGAACACTTATTGAAGCACGTAAACATGATTTCAGTTAAAATTCGTGAAGTACATGGTTACAAAAGCAGTTGTTGAGCAGTTTTTTTGGCCTAGATATGCGGGCGCAGGCATCCAATTGATTTGAAATGCCAAGCTTTTCCAATTAATAATTATTCATAGGCCATATAAGAGTTTGAAGGTAAAAAGGTTTATTCAAAGTAATATTCTTACAAAAAAACGTAGATTGAATCATTTGGTTATAACCAATCTGTTAAATCATGAAGATTTAAATGAAGTTGTTGATTTAAACCAAACTGTTAAAAATCAGCAACATCGTATTTAAAACAATCATATGGTTATTGTGAAGCATCAATGTACGTAATACTTGACAAATCATTTGACATAATAAACATAATTTATACATAGAATGTCCCGTATATATGATTTTTGTATAATAAAAGATGTTTGCTCAAAAAATTAAATTTCAAGTGCAGTTGCTTTTTTGTAAAAGGAATACTCCGTATTTAGAATTAACCACTAAGAAGTAATAATATATAGTGACTTACTGTGTTTAGGAGTACATAGTGATAAGAAAGGCATTAAATACATACCAGTTCACTATCAAATCAGAGGAAATAGGATGACAGTTAGGTCTGCACATTTAATAAAAGCATACACAGGAAACAAGTATACAAACCAAGTACATGATTTTTATAATTATGAAAATCTTTTTTCGGCAGGCATTTTTTATTAATAACATTTTTAAACATGTTTTCAATACATTTACACATGGTCTGCTCGCATTAAATGAACCAACCTGCAGGATCCCAATACTAGGATGGCGTGTAGGTCTGCTCATTAAATGAGCACAGGCAGCAGGTACATATCACAATTAATAACAAATATATTACTTACCAGTGGTCAATAACCATTTCTGCCGTCTGAGTGCATATATACCATTGTAAATGCATTTACTCCCTGCTCAGAAACTCATTTACTCAGCTCAACCATAACATCTAAACAAAGAAGGCTGCCACTGTTTCCAGTATAAAGTCTGAGCATTGATATTTCTACACAAACCTAAGGTATGTTTTCTACTATGGTTTTGAATGACAAAATGATCTACAAATGATATAAGTACCAGTGAAATCTTTTTTATGCTAAACATAATGAAAAAATTGAAATCAGTTTTAATACTTTTATTTTCTAAAAAACTTAATGACAAAAATTGAACTTTGATGTTTAAGATGAGGTGTTGTTCATGTTCAAAATGCAATGCTCCAAAATGTCATGCATGTGGAAAACACCCGGGGCTGTTTTGGTTGGTACCATGATATTGGTGTAATAAAAATTTAGGTCACTTTTACTCCATGAGGCCTCTAAACAAGAAAAGGTATACTGGGAATTACATATGCCAACAATGTCAACAATGCCTAGATGCAGGCCCTATAATACCTAGAAGATCAGGTCGGTCTGTAACACTCAACTACAAGTACTTCAATGAAAACGTCATTGTGGGGATAGTTTTGGCTGGCTTAAAATGGCATGACTGTATTCATGCATACTATGTACATGAAATATGCTTATGGTTTTTGTGGGATATGTAAGAGCCAAGTTGTTTTGTTTTTTGCAAATTGTGTGACATTTATGATCTCAAATAATCCTAGGCCATGTTTGTATTCTATGTAATGATTGTAGTGTAATGTTATGTTGATGGTTGTATGCATATGCTTTTTTGAAGAAACACAACTGAAGAATGGTTTGATGAATATATAAGTTTATGCATTTCATAGGTTTTTCAGTACATGTTGAAATCCAAACTATATGGAATGCAAAGATGTTTTTGAAAAAATTGTAGAAATGTGAGGTTTTATTTACTTTACATTACTGAAATGTATGGAAATGGGTTAGGTTACATGTATTAAGGCCATATATGACTGCCAGACCACGCAGATCCGAAGGCCACTTAGCTGGCTGGCAGGGAATCTGGCAGCATATAGAATTGGCCAACTTACTAACAGCTCTTCAATGAAGAGGATCACCAAAAGCACCACAATCAATAGAAAAAGAAAGCTTGAAGACTTGACCAACAAAGGTAGTTTTATATGTTTATATTGTCTGAACTGATTTATAAGTTCAATAGTCCAGAGTCACAAATACAGATAACAGAATTGATAAACACCATTTATGGATGTATTAATTTCAAAAAAAAATGTAGTGTGTCAAGATAGCATATAAAATATATGAACTCAACAACAAGCTTTGAAACCGAACATTTCCAGAAGTACACAAATAAAAAATACAGTTTATAAAATAAATTTGACTCAGCCTTTGTAGATCTTTGAATACTATTGTTTGATTACAAACTGTATAGATCTGATTCGGCAAAGTGTTAATTAAAAAAATGCAAGTACAAGACATATATCAATATGGTCTGAGATCATTCAATATCACTCAGCCTTCATAAATAACTGATACAAAAAAACAATTTAGGAGAAATCCAAATACGGTTGAATACATCTGAGATCCTTTGTTAATCATCACTCAACGTTCGTGTCATTCATTTGGTATGGATCTACAACAAATTTCAAACTAAAGATACCAACAGACTTTAAATATTCAACATTATCATATTAAACAGATGACCTGCCGGTTTAAAAACAAAGTACCAGAATAATTATCATATTAAACAGATGACCTGCCGGTTTAAAAACAAAATACCAGAATAATAAGAGATCTAAAACAATCCACAACTTTTTGTTTAAAATCGTATAGATCTGTGCTTCAAAATTGGAATCTTATTATCCAATTGACATGCAAGTGAGAAGCAGTTAGCAGTATTAGGTCTGAGATCATTAGGTATCACTCAACCTTAGTATAAAATAAACAATGGCATGTTCATATATGACTGCCAGACCACGCAGATCCGAAGGCCACTTAGGTGGCTGGCAGGGAATCTGACAGCATATAGAATTGGCCAACTTACTAACAGCTCTTCAATGAAGAGGATCACCAAAAGCACCACAATCAACAGAAAAAGAAAGCTTGAAGACTTGACCAACAAAGGTAGTTTTATATGTTTATATTGTCTGAACTGATTTATAAGTTCAATAGTCCAGAGTCACAAATACAGATAACAGAATTGATAAACACCATTTATGGATGTATTAATTTCAAAACCATGTAGTGTGTCAAGATAGCATATAAAATATATGAACTCAACAACAAGCTTTCAAACCGAACATTTCCAGAAGTACACAAATAAAAAACATAGTTTATAAAATAAATTTGACTCAGCCTTTGTAGATCTTTGAATACTATTGTTTGATTACAAACTGTATAGATCTGATTCGGCAAAGTGTTAATTACAAAAAATGCAAGTAAAAGACATATATCAATATGGTCTGAGATCATTCAATATCACTCAGCCTTCATAAATAACTGATACAAATTTTTTTTAGGAGAAATCCAAATACGGTTGAATACATCTGAGATCCTTTGTTAATCATCACTCAGCGTTCGTGTCATTCATTTGGTATGGATCTACAACAAATTCCAAATTAAAGATACCAACAGACTCTAAATATTCAACATTATCATATTAAACAGATGACCTGCCGGTTTAAAAACAAAATACCAGAATAATAAGAGATCTAAAACAATCCACAACTTTTCGTTTAAAATCGTATAGATCTGTGCTTCAAAATTGGAATCTTATTATCCAATTGACATGAAAGTGCGAAGCAGTTAGCAGTATTAGGTCTGAGATCATTAGGTATCACTCAGCCTTAGTATAAAATAAAATGAATACATCAAAAAAGGGGGAAATACCGAAATCAAGGAGACATGAGGTCTGAAGTGTTTACATCCTTTGTC